GGCAGTCTGCAACAGATATCCATCCTGATTGGCTGTGACCTAGACACGGTTCTCTCCGCCCACTCTGGTCCTCTGCAGCAGCCTGGAGACACAGGACACAAAGACAGGACTCATGTCCAGAACCTGGTCCAGAACCTTCTGTGGGTTCTACTGCAGCCGCTCTTACCGGCTGTTCTGTGGATCCATGTGGTCCAGCAGCATCTCCTGGGAGACCCTGAAGTCGTCCATGGGAGACTGGTACCGCGGCTCGAAGGTTCCCTCCGCCCCCCTGTAGGTCACGGCCTGGGGGGGCAGCTGGGGCAGAGTGGCCACGGCGGAGGACGTGGAGGAACCTGAGCTCAAATCCCCCGCGTGGACCGATGTGGCCCCCACCGCAAGAAAGGGACTGAGGAGTTCTCCGTTCTCCCCCTGAGAGAACCGAGAGGAGCAGATGGGTCAGAACATTCAGGAGAACAGTTCCACACCGACACTCACGCTGCTGCCCTCACGGTGGACTCAACCAGTGGCTGCTGAGAAGGTGGTGTGGTCAGGTCTTCTGACCACCTGGATCTGAAATAACACAACTACAAGACTGTGTGTGTGTGTGTGTCTGTGTGTGTGTGTGTGTCTGTGTGTGTGTGCGTGCTCACCCTGCCTCTGATGATCTCCATGTGGACCAGGAGTGAAGACAACTCCAAGTCTTCATTGAAGCTGTTCTTCAGAGGTACGGATCGGTACCCTGAGGAGAGAACAGTCGGTGTCACTCTAGTACCGATTCACAGCGATGTCCACTCAGGAGCTCCTGTCTCACCTGTCTTCATTCCATAAATGGGGAACGTGGCCTGGGCCAAGAAGTTCTGGTCGTTGAACATGTCGATCTCGTAGACGACAAAGCGGAGGAAGGCGAAGGGCGAGTTACAGACCGTGAACTGGAACGGCTTCCGAGGCCACGTGGGATTCAAACCGTTGTCGGCTGCAGGTGAGAAGAAACGAGGTCAAAGAGAGAGAAACACACACACACACTGATGTCCAGGTCTGGACCGTCACCTTCAGAGTCCGTCTTCTGTTTGCCGCTGTCGTACTCAGCTCCACACACTTCAATCTCAATCAGCGGACACACAATGCCACGGCCGTGCTTGGGTAAGTGCCGCGCCCCCAGAACCTTCAGGGGAAGAAAAAGACACCGTTGAGAAGTGAAGGCAGACAGGGTCAAAGGTCAAAGGTCAAGGTTGACATCGTGGTTTAAATGTTGACAAACATTAAACCGTGACAAAGTCCCCCCCCCCCTCCCATACTTCTATGATCACAGTGACTTCTTCAAGGCCTCGCAGCGTGTGTTTGTCAAACGGGTCAAAGCTGTCGTCCCTCATGATGGGGGGCTGGAGGACGTAGCCGCTGCGTCCGTTCAACATGAACAGAGCCTGGTTCATCTGCATGGGCTTGTCTTCAGACAGAAGGAGGAAGGTCAGAGGTCAACACCGCAGTGTCTTTGCTCAAAAAAGACAGTTGAAAACAGTGGCGTCGTACCTGCGGTCTGGAAGTTGAGTGCCACCAGCTGTGAGCCGCACAGCCACATGGGGAGGGGGTCGTAGTTGGAGGAGTCCAGTCTCTGACCCCGGGGGTAGATCCTGGACAGCTGCAGTCGGTTGTACTGCAGGAACTTCTTCCCCTTCACCTTGTTGACGTACTTCTCTGCTTTAGTCTCCGGGAACGAGGACATGTCCCGGAAACAGGCCCGCTCGGTACCGATCTCTACGGGGACAGAGGGACAACGCCGCTGACCAGAGCTAAAACAGTACCCAGTACTACAATGACGTGACATCTGTTCTCTGGTCCGACATCTGGACAAATGGTCACAAAGGTTGCCAAGGTCAAAGTGAGTCCAACAGTGGACATCTGTGGTGATGGAACCGTTTCTCTACAAAGACTTTTATTTTGACAGGACTTAAACACAGGTGTGAGAAGTGACCCACGGGTCAGCACCAGTCCAGGCCTTTCGGTCAGTAACCTCTGCTTAATGTGTGTGTGTGTGTGTGAGAGCGACCCATACTGTCTTCATCAAAGGGCACCGGTCTGCAGTAGATGACCAGGTCAGACAGTTCCAGAGCGATCTTCTTCCTCCTCTCCATCATCTTTCCTTCCTCCAACTGTACACACAGACATTTTATTACTGCAAATACAACCCCCCCCCCATTCACCACGGTCTGAACGGTGCTACCTTGGCCTCGGAGGTCACGGCCACCTCACGGATCTTGAACATCCACTCATTCAGCTCTTCTAGGCTGCTGGCGGCCACGTCCAGCACGGGACCCTTCCTCATGGAGGCGTTGGGGACCAGGGAGAAGACATGTGGGCGACTGCCTTTTCCATCAGGACGCACAACTGCTCAGAACACAAAGGGGAGTCAAGGGTTAGAGGTCATGGAGGTCATCAAGTTCTTCTACATCCAAAGAACCCAAAGTCCAAGTACCCCACACCAGGGGGCAGCAGAGGCATTATTAAAGAAAAACTGATAAATACTCATTAACGAACAGGAAGTGAAGAGGCATCTCACCAATCTGACAGGAAGACACGTCCACGCTTCCTCTCAGCAAATCACCAAGAGGACTGTTCTCTGTCATCTCCTGCTGGACACAAAGGAGAATTACAACAGATGTTACAACAATGAAGATCCACAGAGAAAACGCAGATATGAAGATGAGTGGGTGATGGTGCAACAACGACAACAACGATGACAGCAGCCACGTCAACGACAACAACGATGACAGCAGCAACGTCAACGACAACAACGATGACAGCAGCAACGTCAACGACAACAACGATGACAGCAGCAACAACAACGACAGCAGCACATTAAAGATAACAACATTGACTTTTACTCTCTTTACAGTTCAAGTGTTTTTATTTGTGTTCCATTTTCAGAGAGTGTTTATTTACAGTAGCTGAGTCACATGAAGTAACACCAGTAACACCAGTAACACCAGTACCAACTGGACAGAGTGGGTTTCTTGACTTCTACTCCGTCCAGTTGCCCTCCATGTAACTATTTTTTTGGGTTTAGATCAGACCATTACATACTATATCTATTACCACCACCTAGTGGACTGGAGTGGAAAAGCTCAGTGTGTCATGATGGCAATTTGGACTATTTATCCAGATTCAGGAGAAGAGTGTGTGTGTGTGTGTGTGTGTGTGTGTCTCTCACAGTTCTGTCAGGCTCGGCTGCTGACGGACTGATCTCCTCCACGTAGTTGGCAGGAAACCACAGCTGCTTCTTTCCTCCACAGTCGCCCTTCCACCTGAGACACAGAAGTGATGATGACTCTTTCTTCTTCTTCTTCTTCTTCTGTTTCACAGTACATTGATCACTGATTATTGATTACTGATCACTGCTGCTCTGGACTCACCACCCTCCTTCCTGTTTGTCCACGTTGGAGATGACGGTGTTTTTGGTGAAGGAGAGCTCGTCGTCTCTCTGGGCCTTGTACTCGTACATGGCTCTGACTGTGCACTGAAAAACAAAGAAGACGCCGTGTGACCCCCACCCTCTGTGCTCCGCCTCCGCAGCACTCAGCTCTCAAACATCCAGTCCAACCTTGAACGTGGGCATTTGATTGGCCTCCACGTAGAAGCCTGGGTTCCTGCCCTCGTACAGCGACCCGTAGTCCGGCTCCTGTCAGAAGAATTCACACTTTTACATTTCTTTGATGTTAGAATGCACCTCCCCCCCCCCCCCCCCCCCCACATTCACACCTGTGGTCAGCGCAGAGTGAACAAGTCTTCAGTGATTGGCTGTGACCGTCAGACTCTTCTGTGCGTGTGTGGTCAAAGCCGTGGCTCTGAACAGCAGTACTCACCGCGGTGCCGATCTTATCCAGTGTGTCTTCATTGATTGGGTAGCGCAGCTTCATCTTGCGGTACACGGGGTGTTTCTCGTAGTAGCTGATGAGGTCCACCAGGCTGTCGAACTCCGAGGTGCCCAGCACCACGGTTTGGCCCTCCTGCTGCACACGGCAGTGCTTGATTTTCCCCTCAGCCCTGCAGAGAGGCCCAGAACATCGGTGACATGGGCGAGTCATCACGAGTGCAGGTCCACATCAGTACCAGCGCCGACTCACCTGAAGGAAATGGCGAAGGAGTTGGGCTCTGCTCGTTTCCTGACCAGGAAGGCTCCGTCCCGAGGAACCCTCATCAGCATGTTCTCAGCCTGGCTCCTGGACAGGTTGGCGTGGTACCACCTGGGACGAGAAGCACAGGAAGCACATGGATGAAGAGCGTAAGGGGGAGCTGGAAGACACTCTGGAACAGGACTCACTCTTTGGTATTGTGAGGNNNAAGAGCGTCAGGTGGAGCTGGAAGACACTCTGGACCAGGACTCACTCTTTGCTCTCGTGAGCGTTGGTCTGAGGCACCGGCTCCGTCAACTTCATCTCAAACTCATTGCAGCGCAGCGCCACCTGCTGGTAGTGGGTGATCAGGGCAAAGAGCGTGTCAAACACCAGGTTGTCAGTCAGGTAGAACTTTGGACTTCCTGCTTCCTGACGAGAGTGGATGCGGCAGTGTTGGACCCGTCCTGAACGCCTGTGGATGAAGGAGAAAAACTGGACCAGGATGTACAGGACCAGAGCAAAATGATTCTGGTTCTGATCCGTTGATTGATTGAAGTGTATTTCAAATATGTAGTTCTATAAAGCATTTCCGTCTGTGTGTGGACACGTCAGTGACACCGGGTGTGACGTCAGTCACGTCCAGCAGACGTTTCCACAAACCTCAACACGACAGACCAGGAAAGTGATTTCTGATCCTTTTCTGCTGTGTTTATTATTAGGTCAGTGCTGCTGGACTTGTACGGTCGTACAGTGGTACGGTCGTACAGTAGCACAGTGATACAGTGGTACGGCCGTACAGTGGTACGGTCGTACAGTGGTACGGTCCTACAGTGGTACGGTCGTACAGTGGCACGGTCGTACAGTCGTACAGTGGTACGGTCGTACAGTGGTACAGTTGTACAGTGGTACGGTCGTACAGTGGTACAGTCGTACAGTGGTACGGTCGTACAGTAGCACAGTGATACAGTGGTACGGTCGTACAGTGGTACGGTTGTACAGAGGTACGGTCGTACAGTGGTATGGCCGTACAGTGGTACGGTTGTACAGAGGTACGGTCGTACAGTGGTACGGTCGTACACTGGCACAGTGGTACGGTCGTACAGTGGTACGGTCGTACACTGGCACAGTGGTACGGTCGTACAGTGGCACGGTCGTACAGTGGCACAGTGGTACGGTCGTACAGTGGCACGGCCGTACAGTGGTACAGTCGTACAGTGGCACGGTCGTACAGTGGTACGGTCGTACAGTAGCACAGTGATACAGTGGTACGGCCGTACAGTGGTACGGTCGTACAGTGGTACAGTCGTACAGTGGCACGGTCGTACAGTGGTACGGTCGTACACTGGCACAGTGGTACGGTCGTACAGTGGTACGGTCGTACAGTAGCACAGTGATACAGTGGTACGGCCGTACAGTGGTACGGTCGTACAGTGGTACAGTGGTACGGTCGTACAGTAGTACAGTGGTACAGTGGTACGGTCGTACAGTGGCACAGTGGCACGGTCGTACAGTGGCACGGCCGTACAGTGGTACAGTCGTACAGTGGCACGGTCGTACAGTGGTACAGTGGTACGGTCGTACAGTGGCACAGTGGTACGGTCGTACAGTGGCACGGCCGTACAGTGGTACAGTCGTACAGTGGCACGGTCGTACAGTGGTACAGTGGCACGGTCGTACAGTGGTACAGTGGCACGGTCGTACAGTGGTACGGTCGTACAGTAGCACAGTGATACAGTGGTACGGTCGTACAGTGGTACGGTTGTACAGAGGTACGGTCGTACAGTGGTACGGTCGTACAGTGGTACAGTCGTACAGTGGCACGGTCGTACAGTGGTACAGTGGCACGGTCGTACAGTGGTACAGTCGTACAGTGGTACGGTCGTACAGTGGTACGGTCGTACAGTGGTACGGTTGTACAGAGGTACGGTCGTACAGTGGTACGGTCGTACACTGGCACAGTGGTACGGTCGTACAGTGGCACGGCCGTACAGTGGTACAGTCGTACAGTGGCACGGTCGTACAGTGGCACGGCCGTACAGTGGTACAGTCGTACAGTGGCACGGTCGTACAGTGGCACAGTGGACCGGTCGTACAGTGGTACGGCCGTACAGTGGTACGGTCGTACAGTGGTACAGTCGTACAGTGGTACGGTCGTACAGTGGTACAGTCGTACAGTGGTACGGTCGTACAGTAGCACAGTGATACAGTGGTACGGCCGTACAGTGGTACGGTCGTACAGTGGTACGGTCGTACAGTAGCACAGTGATACAGTGGTACGGCCGTACAGTGGTACGGTCGTACAGTGGTACGGTCGTACACTGGCACAGTGGTACGGTCGTACAGTGGCACGGCCGTACAGTGGTACAGTCGTACAGTGGCACGGTCGTACAGTGGTACAGTCGTACAGTGGTACGGTCGTACAGTGACCCTGATTGAATGAAAACCTGATCATTTACTGATTTTACAAAGATCAAATGAAACATTTTGGGCTCAACACTGACCCCTTTGGGTCACATCACGTTAATATAGTTGATCGAAATGAATAAAAAGCTCATTCTCTGTGATTATAGCGCCGCGCCACCTGCTGGCTTTTACCAGAATGACAGTGTGTAATCTCCCACGAAGGTCTCACTCTCTCTGACCAGGAAGGAACCGTCCGGCGCTCCGGTCTCCAGGCAGTACTCGGACAGCAGCCGCTCGGCTATCTGCCGTCCGTCCCTCCCCGCCCCCAGCTTTCCATGGAACCATTTCTCTGTGATGTGCTGGTCCATACCGTTGGACACCTGGGAGTTCAGGAGACAGGGACATGTGAGCCATCTTTGTTAAACACATTAACGCTTTAACTCCGCCCCCAGAACAAGACGGGAGTCAACAGGAAGCTCCGTCTTTCCTGTGCATTGTGTTTGTTTGGGAACATTTGTCTGACAGAGGCCCACCTCCCTGTGCTCCTCCTCATCATCGTTGCCCTGGTTACTGGACGTCTCCTCAGAGTAGTAGATCTTACTGCTGGTCAGGACGAAGAAATGCGGATACCACTCCTGGGGAGGGACGGGGAGAAAGAACAGGTGACCTCATCGAACAAACGGAGGAGAAACGGACCTAGAGGTCAAACGTTGGTCAGACTGTTGCCCCCCCAACCCCCACCCCCACCCTGTCAGAGGGGTCTCGTGATTCTTACATGGTTGATGGGATCTTCCAGGAACAGGATGCCGTTTTTGATGGAGTTGCTGATGTCGTTCTCAGAGTAGGGGGTGGAGGTGGACACCTCCTCGTAGGCGCTGCCTTCTGCCAGTTTCTTATGCTGCAGACGAAGAAGAAGGTCAGAGGAAGAGGAGGTGCAGATACACTGTGGTCAGATACACAACTTCAACAAAGATCTGACCTTGATGAGAATTTTCCTCTTCAGCTGGTTGGGGGAGGGCAGCCCGTCCGCAGCCATGTCCACTGCTTTGGTCAGCAGCATGTCTCCAAACACCTTCTTAAAGTAGGTGGCCATGTTCCTCTGCTGCACAATGCTGCAGTGGTCCTCGATGGACAGGATGATGGGGAAGCTGGGGGGGGGGCATTAGAGTTCTGGTGTTAGTTTGGGGTCAGGTCAGGTCGTGACCTGCTCTAGATGAAGACACCCAGGGCAGAAGAAGAACGTCTGTGGAGACCAGCTGTGTCGGAGGAGTTGGAGTGGACCGTGAGGAGGGACAGTGAACGTCTCTCAGCCTACGTAGGACCTGACGTCTGGGTTTAACAGTGGGTCACAACCAGTGACGTGTGGTCAGGGACCATCATGATAAAAAAGTGCATCAAATAAATATTCATATTTTCCATTGATCTGAATTAAAGATGGATTTTTTCACTATGATTTTTGACATTTTTGACATTTTATTAAGTAAAAGTCGATGACTTTAAGTATTTGGTGATCAAATCCCGGGTGAGGCAGCGCAGAGCTGTGACTCACATCTGACTGACGATCCAGTACAAACTGGGTCACATGACGCGTGTCCGTTTCTGTTCCTCAGATCATATCACCAATAAGAACTTTACAAAAATCTCTGTTCTACATCGTGACTCTCTACAGTCTGTGTCATGTCTGTAATGTCTGTGGGAGAGAATTGTTGCTGCTGATCGGACTAGAAAGAGCAGAGAAGCGTCAGCAGGGGAGGCAGGCAGTACTCGGCCTCACCTCCAGGGGGCGTCTGAAGGTTCAATTTACATTTGTGCTGCACTCGTCTCCAGACTTTAATTTGTTTACAGTAAATATGAATGTCTTGGACACCAGGGGGTGCTGTGTCCATTTGTATAAAGAACCGTTCTTTGTAGAACAAATGTGTTCCTGTGTTGGTGTTCCAAACCACAGTGTGCAGATGAAGACTCACTCAGACGTGACGAAGGCGTGCTCTTTGATGGTTGTCAGGACGTCACAGAACTTGATTTTAGTTGTGAGTGTGTGACCGTGGTAGATGACGGGCATCCCATCAGGACCGTCCCAGCAGTCCACTGAGACAGAGACACAGGCGGTCAGAGGAACCCCGTCCACACGTCAGTGTCGTCGGTGCCGTCAGTGTTGTCAGTACCGTCAGTGTCGTCGGTGCCGTCAGTGTCGTCAGTTGACCAGCTGACAGACAGGTTTACCTACATTCGATACAGCGACAGCCCATCCTCAGGCAGCGAGCGTAGGCCTCCAGAGAGGACTCACTGGAGAACTGGTCTCCTGTCAGGTAGCTGAAAATAACAACAACAGTTACGTCGACACAGACACAGACCAGCAGGTGGTGGTTCCTGCTGTAGCCAGCGTCTTACGTGTTGTGTGAAGAGGAGATCCAGTAGTGGGACAGAGGGTGGTTCATGTTCTCAGGACAGACTTTGTCCAGGGAGGAGTCCCAGATGGTGTTCTCTCTGGAGAACAGATAGGTGAGGAACTGGACAGGAGACACAGACACAACTGTCACCTGGGTGTGTGTGTGTGTGTGTGTGTGTGTGTGTCTCTGTGAGTGTGTGTGTGTGTGTCTCTGTGAGTGTGTGTGTGTGAACCTCGTCAAGGTGAAAGTACGGCTGCTCCACTTCTCTCAGAGGATCCTTCAAATACCCAAACATGAACTCCTGGACCTGGTTGTTGTCTGTTGCCCACATTTCCTGAATTCACAAACAGACGCAGAACTGACCAGACCAAACTTCAAAGAGACAGAAACAGTGACTGAAGTAGGTCTACAGACCGCCTACAGACCTTCTGAGAGTCCAGGAGGAAGCTCTTCAGATCCTCCAGACTGATCCTCTGCTCTGGACTGTTGATGAACCTGTGGAGACGGTGTCAGTGTGTGATGAACACCCC